ACAACAAAAAAAGAGAAACAATGAAACATTATCAGCAACAATATTAAACATGTTTTAAAATGGATTTTTAAATTAGAAGCAAGTTGTTTTGTTTAATTTAGAAAACATAGGAACAGGAAAATAAAAGTTACCATCATTTCAGACACTGGTAACTTTCACTTACTCCCTTCCCCGTTTCTATTAATATTTTAAATATTTTCCAAATTAATATGTTAAAGGCAACATAGTAGGACACCATAATCTAATCCAGCTAACCAAAGTCCTTTTGACTAGATAAACTAGTTTGTATACACTGTTTCCTTAAAGAGCTTACTGTATCTTCTGGTATCAATTTTCCTTCTAGGGAATACCAGGTAGGCTGTTTTTGTTTATAATGATTTCATTGAATTTTTTGTCTTTTGTCCTTTTAAAGTCCTTTGAACTCTGAAAGGTGTCAAATGCTCTCTGACATATAAGAATGTTTAGAGATGCTTTCATGGAAGGTTGCTGCAATACTGTACAATTACCATGAACTCTTAAACTACCCAAACCTAAATGTCATAGTAGAAACATGGACATCTCAAAAGCATAATACAATTACATTTTTGTTTTTGGCTTGAACTAATATCATTTGTCCGGGGTTTTTTTTGTTTGTTTGTTTTGGCTAATAGTGTGTGCCATTTATCTATACCAGGGTAAGTAAAAAAGTAGTGCTATAAAACCAGAGACAGCTTAACAGAAATACCAGAATGAACAGCTCCTGTTTCTTCACATGACTCTCCATCTGAGATGACACACTTCTCATGTCTCCAACCTTTCTTCCCCAAGAAAGTTGTGCTCTTCTCCTTACACCACATCCACACAGCGGTGGATGTATCCTCAAGGAGCTCAAACTTGTGCTCCTTTTCAACTATCTTTAGGTTCAGGATCTGAGGGGACAAGATCAAACTAGGGTTGGGGTAAGGTTCCCCAGGAAATTGTCTCGCGCTAGCCCTTGCTACTCTTAAAAGGGTGAGCACCGGCTCGATGGAGACATTTCCCCGGTGCAACCTTCTGGCCTTTTTCTCACTGATGTGTTTTACGTTTTCTTGAAATTTATAATAAGCCTCCGTCCTCATCTGTGTCCTTTGAGAAATGTATCAAGTTATATATAACTCCAGTTAACTCCCCAAAATGTGAACTAGACTCTGCTTTGGACTTAACTGGCCAAACAGACCCCTTGGGAAGCCACTGTTTTGACTTTTTTTTTTTTTTAAGTCATCCTTATGAGACTGAGAAAGGAACCCTGGTGGCATAAAGTGAATGTAAAAAGAAAAGATGACAACTGAACAAAATATGACAAAGAGTAAATTGAGAAGATGACAAAGGGGATTATAAGAAAATGTACAGAAAGTTAGAAAACTCAAAGGGGCCCATGTAGTTACTGACAAAGTCCATGTAATGGTAGAGTTATGATGAAAAGATCCACGATATATTCAACAATGGCTTCAAACATAACCATTATGAGCCTGGCACAGGCTTGGGCGGTGCTTCATGCTGTTTTACATGGGAAGGCTATGAGTCACAACTGACTCAACAGCATCTTACAATAACAAGAAATAACGATTGTAAACAAGTGGCCATCTAGCTCAGAAGCAACAAAGCCCACATGGAAGAAGCACACCAGCCTGTGTGATTACGAGGTGTTGAAGGGATCAGGTTTCAGGCATCAAAGAACAAAAATTCATATCATTGTGTGCTCACCTTCCAAATATGATCACTGAAGACAAATGGGTACATAAGCAAATGTGAAGAAAGCTGATCATGCCTGATTATCAAAAGATAAAGCGTCTGGGGTCTTAAAGGGTTGAAGGTAAGCAAGTGGCCAACTAGCTCAGAAGCAACAAAGCCCACATGGAAGAAGCACACCAGCCTGTGTGATTACGAGGTGTTGAAGGGATCAGGTATCAGGCATCAAAGAAAAAAAAAATCATTGTGAATGAGAATTGGGGACCCAAAGCCCACTTGTAGGCAACTGGACATCTCCTTAAAGAATGGTCGCAGGGAGTAGATAAGCTAGTCAGGGTGCAGTGTAGCAACAATGAAACATACAACTTTCCTCTAGTTCTTAAATGCTTCCCCACCCCACCCCCACCCCCACTATCATGATCCCAATTCTACCTCACAAATCCAGCTAGACAAGAGGATGTACACTGGTACAGATAGGAACTGGAAATGGAATCCAGGACAGATGATCCCTTCAGGACCAGTGCTGAGAGTGGCAATACTGGGAGGGTGGAAGGACGGTGGGGGGCAGGGGATAGAAAGGGGACACCGATTACAAGGATCTACCTCCTCCTTGGGGGATGGACAACAGAAAACTGGGTGAAGGGAGATGTCGGACATTGTAAGATATGCCAAAATAACAATTTATAAATTATCAAGGGTTCATGAGGGAGGGTGGCGGGGAGGGAGGGGAAAAATGAAGATCTATACCAAGGGCTCAAGTAGAAAGCAAATGTTTTGAGAATGATGATGGCAACAAATGTACAAATATGCTAGACACAATTTATATATGTATGGGTTGTGATAAGAGTTGTATGAGCCCCCAATAAAATGATTAAAAAAAAGAAGTAAGATTGATAGCAACAGAAGGAAGACATCTTGCAGGATCTTTGATGTTCTTTTTGTTTTCACATGGCAGCAGCAGCATATGGGTTTTCTAATTTTTCTAATAATCAGTTATTTTTTACCATTTTAGCTTAAAAAATCATTTTACTGGGGCTCATACAACTCTTATTACAATCCATACATACATCAATTGTGTAAAGCACACTTATACATTCATTGCCCTCATCATTCTCAAAATTCGCTTTCTGCTTGGGTTCCTGGAATCAGCTCCCTCATTTTCCTTTTCCCCTTCCCCCTCCCTCCCCACATTTCAGCTTTTACTAAACTGACTTAGAACTTCTTAGAGACAGCCCAGATTAAAAACTGAATTTCCCAGGCTTTCTGGTATTAAATCAGACTCTACAGCTAGACTGGAGACAATGTTATTTTTTAGGGATTTTTTTTGGTTATATCACTTCAAATTTAATAACAATAAATGAGAAATAATTAAAGTTATTTTAAAAATATTATGAAAATAAAATAATAGTGGGCTTAATGAAATATAAAATAAAAAGGCTTTAAAAAAGCAAAGAAGCATGGTTGGCATTTCTCAAGCTGAGCCAACCAAAAAAATTCAAGCATTTATAGTTGCATTACTGAAGGATTTGCTGGATTAAATACTGAATGACACTGCGCCAAACCAAACTCACTGCCATCAAGTTAATTCTGACTTAGTGACCCTTCAGGACAGGGGATAGCTGCCCCCGTGGATTTCTGAGACTGTTTACTCTTTACAAGAGTAAAAAGATGGAAGGAACAAACAGTGAGTTTATGAAAAAAGAATTGGTCAGTGTTCCAACCATTTCAGGATATAGCATATGATCAAGTACTAATGGTATTGAAGGAAGAAGTCCAAACTTCATGAAGGCGTTAGCAAAAAATTAGGATCCCGGAATTGACAGAATACCATTTGAGATGTTTCTACAACACTGGAAGCATTCATCAATGCCAAGAAATTTGGAAGACACCTTCCTGGCTAATGGGATGGCCAATGACTGTTATTTGTGTCCATTCCAAAGAAAGGTGAACCAACAGAATGCAAACATTATCAAGCAACAATACCACATGCAAGTAGAATTTTGCTGAATTCAACAGTAGTATCAGTACATACGGAACTGTCAGAAATTGACTAGGCAGACATATTGGACTGTGTGGATCACAATGAGTTGTGGAGGACATTGCGAAGAATGAGAATTCCAAAACACTTCATTATGTTCATGTGAAACCTGTATGTACATAGACAAAGAGACAGTTGTTCAAACAAAAATTGATCTTGCATGATTTAAAATCAGGAAAGGTGTATCCTTTTACCACATGATGGGCTTCAAAATATGGGTACCGCCTCATACTTAATTCAATCTGTATGTTGAGCAAATAATTTGAAAAGCTGGACTATGAGAGGACTATGGTATCGTGACTGGAGGTAAACTCATTTTTGTTAATGCTGTTAAATCGGTTCTGATTTAGCCATCCTATGTAGTAGTACAGAATGTAACATTGCCTGGTCCTGTCCCATCCTCACAATTTACGTTTCAGCCCAGGGTTGCACCCACTATGTCAATTCATCTCAAGGAGGAGCCTCCTCTTTTTAATGATCCTCTTCCAAGCATGATATCTTTTTCCAGGGACAGCTCTGTGTTGACATTTCCAAAGTCTCATCACCCTCACTTCTAAGGAGCATTCAGGCTGTACTTCTTCCAAGACTGGTTTTGTTTGTTCTGGCAGTCCCAGGTACTTCCAATAGTCTTTGCCAACACTAGAATTCAAATGTAGATTCTTCAGTCTTCCTTAGTCATTGTCCAACTTTCACATGCATATGAGACCATTGAAAATACCATAGGTATTAAAAATACCAGGTGTATCTTATGCCTCAAAATGACATTTTTGCTTTTTAATAGTTTTAAGAGACCTTGGCATATTTGTCCAGTGAAATATGTCATTTAATTTGCTGACTCCTGCTTCCATGATCACTGGTGGTACAGGAACTCCTTTACAACTTCAACTTTTTCTTGGTTTATCATGTTTTCTCTTGGTCCAGTTATGAGGATTTTGGTTTTCTTTACATTGAGTTGCAATCCATACTGAAGCCTACAATCTTGATTTTCATCAGCAAGTGCTTGAGTCCTCAGCTTCAGCAAGCAAAGTTGTGTCATCTGTGTATCACAGGTTAGTAATAAAACTTTCTCTAATCCTGATAGTACATTCTTCATAAAGCCCAGAATATTGACTCAGTATACAGATTGAATAAGTATGGGGAATGGGTAAACCCTGACACAGACTTTGCCTGAATTTTAAACCATGTAGCATCCCCAGTTCTATTCAAATGACTACCTCTTGGTCTAAGTTCAGGTTCCACAAATGTTATCCATAGTTTGTCAAGAGTTGAATGCTTTTTCACAATTCATAAAACATCACAAACATTCTTGTAAACATCTTTCTGTTAATTTTTGCTTTCAGGCAAGATCCATCTGATGTCAACAGTGATAATCTCTCTTGCCTTGTCCTCTTCTGAATCTGGTTTGAATTTTTCAGCTGCTTGCCAATGTACTGCTGTGACTGTTTTGAAATTATCTTCAGCAAACTTTTACTTGTATGTATTTTAATGTTGTTGTTTGATATTTTCCACATTCTATTTGTCACCTTTCTTTGGATAGGCACAAATGTAGATCTTTGGTAGTTAGTGAGGTAGCTGTCTTTCAAGTTTCTTGGCACAGACAAGTGATTGATTCCAGTGCTTTATCAGCTTGTTGAAACATTTTTTAATCAATTTATTGGGGCTCATACAATTCATCACAATACATAGATCAATTGTGTAAAGCACATGTGTACATTTGTTGCTGTTGAAACATTTCAACTGGTTTTCCATATATTCTTGGAGGCTTGTTTTTCTACTAAATTTTTCAGCTCAGCTTGGACTTTTTCCTTCAGTACCATCGGTTCTTGATCATATGCGACCCTCTTGAAAAAGTTGAACATCATAGTTCTCCTAAACAGTTCTAACTGGGTCAGAGGGCAGTGGAGGAGGCCTTACTTATTAGGGTGGAAAGGAAGACCAATACAGGTACCACTTTAAGTCGCTTTTCCCTCCAGTCTAAAACTCTCACTGCAATCGAGGCAATTCTAACTCATGGCAACCCTACAAGGTTTGTGAGTTTCTGAGATTAACTGTTTACGGGACTAGAAAGCCCTAGGGGTAGCTGGAGGTTCCCAACTCCGGACACCTTGCAGTCAGTAGACCAACGAGTAATCTCTACGCCATCCGGGGCTCCTTTTCACCAGGGTTCCTCAGGACCTTCGGCTCGGAATTGTTTTCCTTCTCTGAGAAGTCGAGTAAATAGGGCTGGTGGCGTTTTAGGAATGGAATTGTACATGGAGCCTGACACTCCCCATCCGGGAACCAAAAACACCTGCCTATTCTGGCTTCCGGTAGGGCAAAACAACTTCCGGCGCGTTCCTAACCCGTAACAGTTCCCAGCGCAACATTCTAAGGCTGGGCGCGCCCCGCCGGAACTGTGCCCCGGAAGAGACGTGCTGCCATCAAAAGACGTCACGCGGCGCGGAGGGCCCGGGCTGCCGGTCTTTGGAGTCGCTTGTATAATAAACACACACACGCCCCCGCTCGCTAGTCTATTGATGGAGAGCAAGCAGGACCCTGTGCACGAACTTTAAAGCTTCCATCTCGGGAAGCTCCCTGAGAAACCGCGGGCGCTTCGGTCCGTGACGAAACAAAGTGCGCCGGCGGCTCCCGACGGCCTCCGTCACCAGGGCCGCGAGGGCGGGCTGTGGGCGTGGCCCAGGTCACGAGACCCGGGGGCGGGCCCGGAGGAGCGGTCCTCCAGTGTCCCAGCAGGCCTCAGCCCCGCCCACCGCTTCCCTCGCCCCCCCCTCGGCCTCAGGCTGCGTGGCTGCTCGTTGGCTCCTGCGGACGGAAGCTCGGTTGGTGTGTCTCCAGAAGTTTCCTCGTTGGGCGGTGGCCGTGCCTGATGTCCTAGGTTCTCATCGCGATAGTAACTCCTAGGGATGGCTGCGGCTGCGGCGAGACCTACAACCCCCCAGAGGTGCGTGCATTTTCTTTTCTTCAATTTAGTTTTTACTCTGTTTTTTAAACGTTGGGGTTAGTCGCTCTACTGAAGACGTTGTGTCCCTGGCAGGTTTTCCCAGAGCCTCTCAGATGCTGTGATTGACGAGGACCCCCAGGCGGCGTTAGAGGTGAGACCTGCTCGCCTTTGCCCCTTGCCTTCGCGGAATCGGGCTACGGCGGGTTCTGGCCGTGACCCCCTCTTCCCAGCGCGGTTTTCCTGCGTCCTATCCCCAAATATTGAGTCTTCGTTCTCTTCCTGACCCCACGCAGGCTCTGTACACTACCCTAGTCCCCCTCTGTAGTCCCGCCCACTCCTAAGTAGCCTGCATCTCCTCAGCCTCTTAGAAAGTGTGCTTCCTTCCCATCCTTTTTCACTGCTTTGGCTCGTGGGGGAAAACTGTCATTCACGATTGGAAAGCAACCAACCAAACTCCCTGCCATCCAGTCGCTGCGTGTGGCAGGAGAGAATCAAACGTGGGTCAGATGGTATTTGTGAATAGAGATTCTCATTTGACAATCATTGGTCCATTCTTAGGGCGCAGGCACAAGTGCCTTTATGAACTCCGTCCACTGGGACAAAACCTTCCTGTCTCCCTGAAAGTTTCAATGGTTCCTGTGTCTTGATTTCTTGGTGCTACTGTAACAGAAATACCACAAATGGGTGGCCTTAATGTAAAACAAAAATGTATATATCACAGGTTAGGAGGGCAGAAGTTCGAATTCAGGGCATTGGCCACAATTTGAGGGGAGGATCGTTGCTTCAGCTTATATTACCGATTGGTCCCTCCTCAACTCTTACTACTAGGGACTCCGTGGGACAGACAGAGTAGAACTGTCCCAGATGTTTCCAAGCAAAGCACCTTATGTCTGTGCTGAGGAACAGCAACTGGGTGCTAGCCACTGACTTTCCTGTCAACGGCTGAGAACTTAATCACAGCACTACTAGGGCTCCTTAGCTTCAGTAGCCTCACCTGTAACTCAAGTTACAAATCCCACACTGATCTAACAAAATTGTATGTACACATAGGATTACATCCACAAGTATAGGGGTCAAGACTCCAACACATACTTTGAGGCGGATTTAGTTCAATCCATAATACCGAGTCACTTGTTTTTATATATCAAATTTATTTGGGGTGGCTTACTACGTATAAAGTACAGCTTCGCTTACAGAGCAATTGTGTTTGTGTGCAATGGAAGACAGGCTATAAAGCTATGAAAGAGCAAGAATGAAATAAAAAGGAAACTTGGCAAGAACCTCTTTGCTGTGACGTCTAAAAGAAATGTAGTGGTTCGTACCCAGGTAGGAAGGACAGCCAGTAGAAAGATTCTGGGATGGGAGTGAAGTTGGCCAATATAAGAACCAGCAGAAAGGTCCATTGACAGTAGTCTGAACGAAGAATGGGAAGATGAACATGCAGAGGAATCCAGGAGAGCTAGAGCTCTAGCTTGAACTTCAGGTCAAGGATTTTTTGGATTTCCATGTAAAGACTTGCTTGAGTTTAAATTTGTTGTTAGGGAACCTTAAATTTTAAAGGTGGTATAAGAGCAGTCGTTTCAAGGATTCCAGCCTCCATGCCTCCAGAAAGTCTGGAGCACATGAATTTGAAATTGTGATTTACACACCCCCTCTCCTTCCTTTTGAACAAGATTCTTCTGTAGACTCTTGGATCAAAATGTTTGAGTAATGTAGTTGAGCACCATCCAGTTCTGGTCTCATGGTGAAGGAGGCAGTTGTTCATGGAGGCAAATAGCCACATTTCCATATCATTCCATTCCAGAATATCCTTTTTCCTCTGCTGCTCCAGGTGAGTCATCTTGCCTTACTTTAAAAACATCATTGAGCAGTGAAGTGCAAAAACACAAACACAAAACTCCCTGCAATCAAGTTGATTCTGATTCATAGCAACCCTATAGGACATGGTAGAACTAATGCTTTTGGTTTCTGAGACTGTAACTTTTTACAGGGTAGAAAGCCTCATCTTTGTCCCGCACAAATTTCATGCAGTTTGGTATATTTTTACAAGTGATAAGAAATCCCTATTTGGAGGCTCCTTCATATCCTTACCAGTCAGTAAAGTGCCTTACCCACCAGGTATGCTTTCCTCTGACATCCAGCATCTGTTAGTTTTGCTTTTTCTTGCACTGATGTGAACAGAATTAACCCGACAGGTGTTCTTTGTATAAATACTCCATTTTTTACTTTCAACATTATGTAAGGTACACCCTAATTGTATTAAACAATAGTTGATTTTCATTGCATTTCATTAACCCAGGCCATTCCTGGGTTACTGGCGAGATCAGTTCTTAACTGTGTCTTAAGAATTTATCAGCCCTTGGAATAGATGCATAAGATTTATCTTTCGTCTAACTTTAGTGCCTGAAGCCTGTTCAGTGATTAAAAAGCTCCATGTAAAAAAACCATAAACGTCATGCGTGGCAACTGAAAGGTGATTGAGAGAAAGAATCTGTTGTCGGTACGGGGTGGTTCAGTTAGGTAAGGATTGGTTCGCTTGTTTCCAAGTGAGGGCTTCAAGGATGGTGACACCATGCTGCTTTGAGTGTGTGTGACTCTGCAGCCCTGCCAGTAGTTCAGTCTCACACATCAGGCTCCTCAAAAGACTCACTTGCCTCTCCTAAATATCCCATTTCAAGGCCCAGACCCATAATTTTTCTTGTTCCAGCTATCATGATGAATTACCTAAATTGTGAAAATTCCAGCCTGATTCTTTCTTGCTTCCTTGGCCATGACAGTGGAAAAGTGGAATGAAAAGATAATGAAATTTTCCCTGTGCTTGTAGAATCATCCTGTATATATCTTAAAACGTGGGTATAAGAAGTTGGGTATACCAAAAAACAAACAAAACCCAAACAGCAGAAACTAGTTCAATTCAAGGCAATTTCCCATGAGTTTCAGAGTTGAACTGTGTTCTTTTAATAGCTGATATTTTAGAAGTAGAGTACTAGGCCATTCTTTCAAGATGTCTCTGGTTGGTTGAACCCACAACCTGGAGGATAGTAGCTGAGGAATTGACCATTTGTTCTTCCTAGGACATCCTTTTGTTTGGTATTTTAAAAAACGACAACAAAACCCGGCCATGGAGTCGATGCCAACTCATAGTGACCCTCTGGGGACAGGATAGAACTGTCCCAGGTCTGAGTTTCTGAGGCTAACTGTCTTCAGGGAGTCGAAAGCCCCGGTGGTTCTGAATTGTTGACCTGGTTAACCCAAAGCTTGACTGCTATCTCACCAGGGTTCCTTATGTTTGGTCTAGTTCTGCTTTGGCCAGGATGATTCCATTGTGGCATTGAAGTTTGGCTCTTGCCTTTTTTGATACACCTCTTTAGATGTTTTGCCACAGAAATGGTAGAACTATTCCACAAGTTCAATGTTATTAAGAAAACTACAAATCATGTTTTAAAGTCTTTTTATAAAGTTTTAAATGATTTAAATCTGATTTTGTGTTTTATTCCAGATGTATAAACTTGTGTGTCAGTAAGATTTTTTCCTTTGAAGTAGAGGAAAGAACTAGGAGACAACAGGCATTTATACAGGTCTACATACAGTCATGTACATATGTAAATATACTTATATATGACAATGGGGAAATAAATGTATGCATATATATATATTTAAATCATTTTGTTGGAGGCTCGTACAATTCTTATCACAAACCATACATACATTGTGTCAAGCACGTTTGTACATTTGTTGCCCTTATCATTCTCAAAAATGTTCTTTCTACTTCAGCCTTTGGTATCAGCTCCTCATTTTTTCCCATCCCTCCCCGCTTTCCCTTCCCTCATGAACCCTTGATAATTTATAAATTATTATTATTGTCATATTTTATACTGTCTGACATCTCCTTTTATGCCCTTTTCTG